TTAAAAAAAAAAAAAAAAAATACATCTTAATAAAACCAACACCTTCTCAGCTTCGCTTCGAAGCTAAAATGTATAAAGATTTAAAAAATTATTTTATATTTTTTATTTTATCGTTATTACATAATAACTGTAGACTAAAATAAATAATAAATGTATAAGAAAGCCCAAAATTTCGTTAAAATTATGTTTTTTGTATTTATATCGTAATAAATCATTTCTATGTAACTCTTGGTTTTTAAATATATGTTACAATTGAAATATATTTAAACTATATTCTTTATAATTATAACCTATTGTATTCAATAATATATTTGATATTTAGAAATACTCTATTTTTAGCTTCGATGCGAAGCTAAGAAGATAATGGTTTTACTATGACGTGTTTTTTTTTTGTGTCTTATCACTTTTTCTCAGATCTCACCGAACCGATATCTTTCAACAATACGTCAAAAGATCACAAATCGTATCTATTCAAAAATATTACCCTCAAAAATTTCCCTCGTTCACCGTAAATGGGGGAAACCTCCAAAAAAATTACAAATTTAAAAATTGCTAATTTTCGAAATTTTCTCAATTTATTTTAAAACTAATGTTTTAATTGCCATAATGTTTTAAAAAATGAACAAATCAATATAACTTTTTTTTTATAAATGCTTGATGTCTTTACCTATCATTTTTTTTTATAAATTTGACACTTTAACTGCCCACAGGGGGGTATTTAAAATGACAACTTTTTCATAAATAATTATTTTTTTAGCTACCGAATGCTATTTTTGTGTGAAAATTCTCGATTTTGTATTTTACATTTTTAACTTTATTATGCTATAACTTTTTGAAAAATATATGGATTAATACAATTTTTTCATGAGAAGTAGTATTTATATACATGTTTCAATCGACATACTTAATCAAGATATAAATAAGGAAATAACAGATCATGTAGCTTTTGGAATAATCCACCAATTTTTTAAAATTAAACAATATCTAAAGATTTGCATCGAAACGTTTTTTATGATAGTGATTTTAATCAATGTCAGATATCATTTTACTGAACCCAACTATGCCATGTCACCACAGTGCCGCGACTTGGTTTTTTTTAATTTTTATAATTGTTAGTATCAATATTATATTGAACTTCTCGGTATGAACAACCAAAAAATAATTGTATAATACACCATTTATGTTTATACTTAAACAATAATTTAAAGAATTACTAAACAATAAAGTAAATTGTGATTAATGAAATAACATAAACATAGAAAAAATATTATTTTTTTACAACATTTAATGAGTTTCTATTTGTAATAGCGTTGGTGGTTCTTCATCTGTTGCTTTAAGTTCCAATTCTAGATTTATAAAAAAAAATTAAAATACTATGAAATGATATTTTAACTAAACATTTTTTTTTTATATAAATACCTTGTATAATTAGTTCATTTGGTAATGGTAAAAATGTTTCTTCAGTAATTGGATCAAATTTAAATCCCAGTTGAAAATAATTTTCAATAATTACTGTCTTGATATAATCTTTAAATTTTCTGGTTAAAAACTTTAAAAAATCTAATCTTTTATCGTGTTTAATAATGGCTTTATATTCTTGAATCCATTCATTCCATAAATAATTCCGATTATAAGGTACAAATTCACAATATAACTCAGTTTCATATTTTAATTCTTCTATTATATTTTTAGAAAATAAATATATAGTCTTAAATGTACAAATATATGTAGATATATCATCACGTGATAGAGTTCGTTGGTTTAATTTATCAAAAATATCTTTTATTTCATTCAATAAAGGACTAATTATGTAGTGATTGCAGCTGTTTTCTTTAAAATCAGTCCATGGTAAAAAATGTATTAAATTTAATGCGTCCATAGCACCTTTCATCAATGTTGCTATTGGAAAAATTAATATAGTTATTATTTTTATGAATCCTTCGGTATATATGAATAAATTGTTTTTATTTTTATTTTTTGTACACATTTTTAGGGAGTTGATAATAATTAAAAAAAGATTATTCGTCACTTTTGCATATTTGCATCCAAGATATATAGTCAAAGTACGTACCTTTGTCAAACATAGAGTTCGATGTGTAGGTGTTTCAATTAAATTTTTAAGATAATATTTTAAATGGTTATATTTTACATATTTCACAACATTTAAATTTTTCCATCCCGAATACATTAATAACTTATCTATCTGATCTGTTTGTTTTTTCGTTGCATATTTCGCTTTTGTATATAAAATCACATATAATACTAAGACACTAAACTTGACAAGTTTTAATGAAAACATATGGAAGATAATTAATTATTATGATTGAAACTTTTATAACAAAATACAATTCGACAATGTGTCAAAAGTAACGTATTTATTGTTTTCTGTATTAAAAAAACTAACATTTATGATAAAACATATGTGGTATTATAATAAATTACTTTAAATAGAATTGTTTCCGCATAAACATTTTATATGCGAAACAATAAAAATTGACGTACGGCTAAATTAAATAAATGAAAAGTGAAAACTCGAAGTCCTTATTATAATAAAGAAATAGGCTTGGTTATTTAGGTATATTAATTAATTAATTAATAACATGATGAACAATATTAGTATCCCTTATCATTATTAGTTTAGAAAATGTTTCATCATTTGAGCATCAAACATATGTTATATAATCTATTTTTAGTTAATATAAATTAAAAAAATTTATTTTCCGGCACTAATATATGTAAATGACACGGGAAGGATAACTAACTAAGAAAAGAGAAAAAAACGTTGCGTACATTAATAAAAATAATTCTTCTTAAGTAGAGAATAATATATGTTGATATTCATGAAATTTTAATTTGAAAAAGTTAATACAACATTTTATTATAATAAAACTATGTTAAAATTAAGGAATTAGTATTTTTTTATTTTTGTTCTAAATGTTTTATATGTAAATAAAAAAAAGATATTTATACTATTAAAACTCACTGGTTTATTTTTAAATGAAAATTTACATATTTAACTAGCTTATAAACAAACAAATTACCAACCTTAACGATTTTTGAAATAGTACTTTGGAAGTGATTAATATTTTTAAATTTTGATTGGATGATAAGCGCGACAGAGTAATACACTCTATATTTTGAACTTGAGATAAATTCCAAAATAATGGGTCAAAGAATTACCTCAATTTATCATAAGTAATTGAATAGCTAGAACATTTTTTTTGGAAATTGCAGTCTGATTTATTTGAATAAACATGTTGGATTAACTTAAAAATTTGCAAAAACTCTCAAAAAATATTTATATCTAACAGTTAAATGTTTTTTATAGTTTCATGTTTTTTGTAAATGGGTGTGTTAATTTGGGTACATAGCCCTTATCTCTTATAAGAATATACCGTTTGACCAAAAAAATAACCAAAATAATTGAAACAAAAAATTATAACACGAAAAACAGTTATTTTTTACACTACTTGTTTAACTTTGAAGGCCATTTACATATAGAAGAAAAGGTGTCCAGACGACTTTTTTTTATATCACTTTGTAATATAAGCATTATTTTAACATAAATTTAAAGAATGCAGTATTTTTGGAAAATTTTCAAAAGTTAAGTTGAATATATTAACTTTTTGTAAAATGTTGCTATAATAAATCCTCCCTATAGACAGGTAGAGGTTCAGATTTTCAAAAAAATTATACCAAATAAAAAAGAAATATCTAATATATTTATATAAAAAGAATAATTTCCATTTATTTATTTTTAATAAAGTTATGACAGTTATAAAAAAAAATTAAATGAATGTTGAAAACTACTGATTTTAAAAATCGTAATATTTGGAGGGATCTACCCAATTCCATTTACAGGGAACGAGGTATATTTTTTCATTTTTAAGAATAATAGGTACAATTTGTGATGTGTTAACGCATCGTTGGAAGAAATCGGTTTGGTGAGTGCTGAAAAAAAGTAGTGACAGACATAAAAAAAAAAAGTAATAATAAACACCATAGTAAAACTAATATGTTCTTAGTTTCTCATCGAAGCTAAAAATCTATGAAAAATGAAATCTTATCAGCCAACTATGAAAACAAGTTAACTTAAAGGTAAATTAAGTAATATTGTATATTTACCACATGCTTAATTTTATCGGCTTGATATGACACAAAAACTATCCGAAATGAGACATTCACCAACTGACATATTAATCCAATAGTCCAAAATAATTTATAAGGGTCGTCGAGAGTTAATGCATATGCGGATTTCAACGTTATATATGTATAGAATATGAATGATAACATAGAGGCAATCATGTTAAGAAGTAAGTCGAGTCCGTAACACTTCGATGCGGTGTTAATCAATTGACAACATTGCCAATGTTTTTCCCAAAGAATTTTCAGTTGTCTGCTTTTGGCCAAATGTCTGCAATTGCATAAGGTATTCAGGTCTTGGACTATTTGTCGGCAGGTGTCATCAAACACAACACAGACTTGAACTATGTCGCACTCGACCATTACTGGTATTAGAAGTGCCGGTAGGCATAACACTGTTTCTTTGAACATAAAATTATCGGGCCTTGATAGCACCACCGCAAATATTCGAATAAAAATTAGTCCAGTAACTATTCCAAAATAAAGCATAGTGCTTTTATGATCCTGAATGTTTGATATTGATGGTCGCTGAGAATGTAAATGAAACATTTGATTGAGCACTGAGGATGTTTCGTTAAACCGATATAAGCAAGCTATCATAACAGATACTATGGCTTGAACAATACTTGCACAGGTTACAACCCACTCCATTACAGACGAATATTGTTCTGTTGAAAAATTTGACCATACTATAAACTGAATACAATTTTGAAATGACCAATAAAGGTAGACAATTATTATGACACTGTATGCCAAAAAGGATCTATCCGGTAAAAAAATTGTGTGTACATAATCCCCTAAATATAAAATATATTTGTATCACAATGCATTTTTATTATAATTAAAAGTACACCCTCAACGGGTAAATGAGTTCATAGAGGGTTCAAAAAGTAAGAAAACAGATCAATCGTTACAAACAATGAGAACAATAGAAACCCTTTTCCTTAACTACTAATCACTCTATACATCCATTGTATAAGTTCTAATAATTAATATGAGCTAATTGGTTTGTATTTTATACATTCTTATCAGAACCTATTAGGGGAGAGCGTGAGGAGTGCGATGCACTCCACGTTCCTCAACTGACACTCTTCAAACGTTTAAGTCGATATTTTTTTAATATAAGAGATTATATAAAAAACATTATTTTTTCGCTCACTCACGTATTTTTTGCGTTATGGATTCTTATAGTTCTCATATTTTTGTAATAAAACTTAAGCGAATTCTTGAGTTTAAGTAAATTGAAGGGCCTACCGCAATAACCTACACAACTCCAATTTTTTGAAAATTTACATTTTGATAGAATATAACGCAGGAGAAACTCTTTTATAAAGTGGGTACAACAAATAAATATTTGTTACGTCCGATAATTTGTAGTAATTGAGTAGTTGCAAAAAAAGCAAGTTTTTTTGGTGTGTTTAAATGTAAGATAAATATATTTTTTTAAGCTACTTTTCTAGCTCTAGGTAAACGGGCGATGTATAAGTAGAACCTGCCGTAACTTCCATATAAAAATACTCTTATACCATTGATATCTATTGTAATAGCTATAACAACATAGGAGGGTCTTAGTCTTTAAAAGTACTCCCTCACTTACGTCAATAATTTACACGTGTTTATTATGATAAATATTTTATTAAATTTTAGTACTTGTTAAAATTATTTCTTAAAAATTCAGAAATATTGAAAAAATATAACCGTAATGTATATTTTTCTAAAATGTTTAAGGAAAACAAACATATATTAAATATTTTAATGGTATTATAAAGAGATTCATATTTTGTGAAAAAAAAAACAAGCCTTCCCTATGAAATTGATCTGTATTTTTTTGGGACAAGACAGATTATTTATAGAATGATGTTATCCTTCAAACAAATTTTAAAAACACATTTTTGTGCACATATTAGCTTTTGAAAATAAACAACATATAATTTTTTTACAAGAACTCTGTTTAATTTTATACTCTATATTAAATTCATACTTGAATTTTGCTGATTGTTCAATGAAATCACTTGTTCTTTTACCAGAAGGAGACCAAATATTTTACTTAAGAAAAAAAATGGCCCCATTATTTTATTTCCGTTAGAATAAATCATTTTAAATAAATTCGAAACACTTCACATTAGTCTATTGAAATATATAAATGGAATAAAAAAGTTGTATACTAGCAATTCAATCAGTATTATAAAATAAACATTCAATAACTATTAAATAGAAGCGAAGTATTATTTGATGACAATGTCATCATGTCTAAAAAAATATTAAAAAAATAAACTTATTTTTCATGCTTGAGAATTATATTAAAGTAATACATATTTTTTATGTCATCGCCATTTAATCTATTTTATGCCCGTATAGTCATTTTATGAGACCCAAAGTACTTATGTATTGGTAACAATATTCCATTTAATAGTCAGTCTTATGGGAGGGCTGGTTAGTTAAGGGATGCGTAAAGTTATGTGGTATATTTCCACCCCATAACTTTATGTAATACATTAGTAATTAGTTTTACAATGATAAGTCACGTTTTGATGCATGTGTTATTTAATGCAATAATATTTTATTTATTAGTAATCAAATTTCATTAACAAGTATTGGCGAATTTATGGATTTTGTGAACTTTTTGGAGTACATTAAATTATAAATAAATGATGTACATAAAAATGTGGATAGTATTTAATTTGATGATAAAATTATCTGTTCAATAAATCCAAAAGCAATATCAACACGTGTTTCCTTAATTATGCCTTGGTTACAAGATTTATGATTAATTATTATTATTATTATTATTATAATACATGAATAAATACTTATATTGTAATTAAATAATGTATGTAATTGTTGTTCTATAATTTTATTTAGTAAATTTTACGTAGAAGTTATAAAAAATTATAATATTGTTGCATAAAGGCGATTATTTTTACTATTGGCCACTCGATTTCTCTTAAAATAATAATTATCTTAAAAAAATTCGTTTTGTAATTTACTAATTTTGTATAATTCTCGGTTTATTAATTATTAATTATTTTTTTAACTCATCCATTATATAAGGGTGTCAATTTAATTTTTTTAAATGACAATATACATATTTAACTAGCATATAAAATAATAAAATAATCAACCGGTCAATAACGACTTTTGAAATAGTACTTTGGAAGTTATTAACATTTTTTAAATATTGAATGGATGACAAGTGAAGCAGAGTAAAACGTTATGTTAAAAATATCATAAACCACACGTCACTTCCCAATCTATATTTTAAAATAGAATAGATATATAAAATAGATAAATTCCGAAATAATGAGTCAAAGAATTACGTGTATTTTTTTACCCAATTTATCATAAGCCATTGACAGCTAGAGCATTTTTTTGGAAAGGGCAGTACGATTAATTTTAATAAACATGTTGGATTAACTTAAAAAGTTGCCAAAATTCTCCCTGAAAATATTTATAACTAATACTTAAATCCTTTTTATAGTTTTATATATTTTTTTAAAAGGGTGTTTTCAATTGGAATACATACCCCTTACCTCTTATAGGAATATACCAGTTGACCTGACAAGGGAAAATTACAACACAATAAATAGTTACTTTTTACACTAAAGTATTACAGAAAATTTTTAAAAATTAACTTTTTATACATTATTTTAAAGAATTGATCGCATCCCGTATATAATAAATAACTAATTTATCAGAATATGACGAATTGATTAACAAATTAAAAGAAATAATTATTGTGTCTTAGAAAAGATAAAGTATAGATTGTTAGTTTATTGCCTAATTTGTGGTCAAGAGATAAAATCTGTAGTGAGTTTAATGTCTCCGAATATACGGTTCGAACAACTTAAAGATAGATAAAATAAGAAGGAATTTTACCTAAAATTTGATGAAAAATGGGTAATATTACTAGTAATAAACTAGTTTAGCTCGTTTTAAAATTTTATGAAGATGATGAAAATAGCAGGATCTGTCCTAGTAAAAAAGATTATGTTAATATTAATATAAATGGTTCAAGCGAGCAATTTCAAAAAAGGTTATTACTTTGCAATTTAAATGAACTATTTGTGAAATTAAAATTAGTGACAGAAATTTAAATTAAGTGGTGCTTATTGGCTGGATCTTTGGGCACTAGGGTGTCCCTTATTTATAAAATTTAAAAATTACAAAGTGCCACCCCCTAAAATTATTCGAATACATGAAAAAATAAATTGTACAAAATTTGGAGACTATTGGTCAACTCTAAGACGTGCCCCAAGGGGGTTAAAAATAACCCCCCAAGGGTGATTTTTTAGTTTTTTTTGTCTATCTCATAAACTTTAGCTTTTGCGAAAAAGTTTATTTGAACATTTTTTTAGGTATACAATTTTTCTATAAAAAGTATATTTACAAAAATTTTCGAAAAGTTCTTATTTAGCCCTAAAAAAATAAAAACGTATATATTCTATTCTTACCGTTGAAATTGTTAATTTATAAATCGTTCATTATAAAAACATAAAAAAAATTCATTTAACCGTTGTTTTAAATTTAATTTTCTATACATTTTTAATTCGACATTTTTTCTATTATTTACTATTCAAAACCTACAATTTTTTTAATTTTAATTAAAAAAAAAACAAATCAGAGTAAAATTAATACCGTCTCAGTTTCACATTGAAGCTAAAATAATGTTAACTTACAAATTTGTATACAACCAGAAACTTTATAAACTTGTAATAAAAATACATAATGAACGAATATTTAACTCATTGATTGACAATTCAAATTGGCCCTGAAACAAAAAAAATTATTATTTTAAAAAATTAATTATAAAAAAGTATTAATTTTACTCTGATGTGTTTTTTTTTAATTAAAATTAAAAAAATTGTAGGTTTTGAATAGTAAATAATAGAAAATATGTCGAATTAAAAATGTATAGAAAATTAAATTTAAAACAACGGTTAAATGATTTTTTTTTATGTTTTTATAATGAACGATTTATAAATTAACAATTTCAACGGTAAGAATAGAATATATACGTTTTTATTTTTTTAGGGCTAAATAAGAACTTTTCGAAAATTTTTGTAAATATACTTTTTATAGAAAAATTGTATACCTAAAAAAAAGTTCAAATAAACTTTTTCGCAAAAGCTAAAGTTTTTGAGATTGACAAAAAAAACTAAAAAATCACCCTTGGGGGGTTATTTTTAACCCCCTTGGGGCACGTCTTAGAGTTGACCAATAGTCTCCAAATTTTGTACAATTTATTTTTTCATGTATTCGAATAATTTTAGGGGGTGGCACTTACAAATATTAAAAAAAAAAAAACCTCTCATGTAGCTAAGGGTCACCCTATTGGGCACACATAATGTCTGTGTTCATTTTCAAAATGTAAAGCTTATGGTTGAAAGCTTGGGTTAAAAGCTGGTTATAAATACTATTTAATTTGTTTAGTTTGTAATTTAGAAAATTATATTTGTGTAATGATATGGAATGCGTTATTTGTTTGAATTGGAGTGATAGTTTTAAAAAAAATGCTTTATGACGAATTAGATTGGCCCAGAAAATATTATATATAAACAATGGGTTAGTACTGATAGAGTAACTATATAACAATTTAGCTACTAATATTTTACCTGTGGATGATTTTATTGATTTATTAAGTGAAAAATTATGTACTTTAATGAAACATTATTACGAATGGTAAAAGTGGGAAAAAATAGGAGGGGGAACTATAGCTACTAAAGAATGAGGAATGTATCCGAGCCACATTGAATTATCTCCCCTCAAAGGCTAGAAATTATATTAATAATAAAAAGCAAATATATTTACTGTACCTACATATAATTTTCCTTATTTCGCTAAAAATCAATTAGAAATGAATATTATACAAAACATCACAAAATCAGTATCATTCAGTTATAAAAATAAATGCAAAACCGTATTTTTGAATTTTAAATATTATACTATAACAGAAACAAGTTGAGAAAATAATATTAACATCAACCAATTTAGGTAGGTATCTACATATAAAAATATGAAATAACAATTATAGTAATATAACTTATAAAGTACTCTACAAACTAATAATATATCAACAATCGTGGTAGTTTCTATTAATATATAAATACATCACCTTAAATTTTATTTTCATTACTTTATAACCCTTAATATAATAAGTCTTTTAGTTTCTTGTGTAGTTATAAATTAATTACATGGTCTTTTAGCTTAAAGTAAAACATTTCAAAACACAATTAAATTGTAATAATGAATAATTTTAGTATTATGTAAAAATATTTTATTGAAAAAATTGTATTTCATTGTTTATTTTAATTTGAAAAAGTCGTTTTTTTATAAATCATAAATAGATTAAAATTTTGATACACCAGTCTATAACAAAGTTTTTGGAGAAAATAACACTCATAGTTTTTACATTATACATTTAAAACGGTTTTAATATTAATATACACTTATTCACAACAAAACTAGTTTTGTACAGAATGATAATTGTTTAGATTTAATTTCTTTCATATGATAATGTTCAGTATTCTAACCAAAATTAAAATGGCTATACTTAGTTATATGTAAATTATAATTAATAATTACTGGTAAATTATGACTGTAACTGTATATTACTCACTGTACCCTTCTACAAACTCTGATTTTTACGACAACATCATCATTCACAATTATTTGTATAAGTCGTTTTCACAAAATAATTCATATAATAATACAGTTTTGATGTTGATTATGAGAATCTCTCAATAATAATAAATAGCGTTTTAGTATTATTGGTCATAATATTTTATTTTAACATAATATTGAAATTTTGTCATCTAAGAACTAAAAACTATTCATATATCTATAGTGTGTGTTTAATTTATTTTGAAATTAAATGTGAACACATACGCTTATAACCTGAACATTTATATAAATTTTATTTGGTCGTTGATCACAAAATACTACAATTATACGTTTTACCTTTCTCTATTAGAGAAGTCTGGTAAAGTAGTCTCTGTACATTATGGACAATATAGATGTTTTGGCAACCGGAGTTTGAAACACTAGAAGTACCATTGGTTTTTGTAAAAAAAAAATAAAACTCAAATATGTATATGCATTCATAAAAGTGTTATATATTACAATAGGTGCGAAAAAATAAAACATAAGATTTAGTTAAATTAACAAAAAGTATTTCGTAATGAAGGTTTTCGAAAATTGAACGATCGCCTGAAAAGAAAAAATAATATACATCAATAATAGGACGGTTATGCAAGTAAAACTATTGTGTAAAATCAAGTCAGCCTTAACTAATTAATTGAATTTTTTAATTACTGACAATAATTAATGTGGACAACAGTAAGCCGTTATTACCTCAGTGCCATCGCTCAAAATTCATTGCGCCTAATTTTTTGCGATTTGTTTCATCACTTGAACTATTGTAAGCGATTCTACACAAACCGCCTCATGCTCAGAATGAATCTTACAATAATTTTCTTTGATCTTGTTAATCATGTTGTCATCGATTGTGTTACTTTCCTTCAATTCATTACATACCTCGGTGATTTCATCTAGGTTAAATTTGCCATCATTATTTTGGTCATGTTTGTTTAATGTTTTTATAATACCCTGGGCCTGAATAGCAAAAGACATATTAATAAGTAAAATGTTAAAAGTTATTTATACAAGGTACCGTATTCGACAAGTTACTAAATACAGCATCTAATTTCGTGCCATTGTCGTCTAGTTTATTCAATGCTTGTTTATCTGTGTCTGATAAAATACCACCCTGAAAATATAATAATTTCAGTACATTTGCAATGTCGACAAAAAGAATCACTTACCAGAGCGCCGGCAATGAAGAACACTGAACACAATACAACTGCGCTTTTAAAATGAGCCATTTTATTCAAATGTCAAATACTTTTTTTGAGAGTTCAAGTCTGTTTGAATTTACTGCTAACTTCCAATGGATCGAAGTGAACACGATTTGATTCTAACGATCGCCAGTTCGTCTTTTATACTGACAAATTCATCGGATTTGTGTCAAAAATATTTGTTTTCGTGTGTTATCGACTCCCAATTTAGATGTAACTTGATAAATATTTTTTACCGAGACGAGCCCGTGAGTCAGAGCTGTGGTGTTTTTGAAAATTTTTCGGTCCGAAAATATACCACAAAAATAAGGCAATTATTGAATAAAATACGACGTGACACATTCAGACTATTGCAATAATATTTACGAACCGAATGAAAACAAATTGAAAATAAAAATTTTATTCATCTGTTTTCGTACCTATTAAAAAAATTATTACATTAAAACTGTCTTATTATTTTTGATCACAGATTGCTATCATAATTAAATTTAAAGTAACATTAGTAGAAGAAATGTTTTTTTTAATACATTTGAGATTCAGCGTAGTAAAATTGAAACAATTATTTGGATAAATATTATGTGATATACAATAAATATTTATAATCACTTATAATTAGTGTGTACATAAATTTTTTATTTGAAAAAAATAATGTGTTACATTTTATATTAATCAAATTTTAATTAAAGAATTCGAGCATTATATTACTATGAAAAAAACTATAAATTGGACTATTCTAGCAGACAATTTGTGATTTTAAGACTTATTGACCGATAGTCTAGTAACGAGATGGTCCATGGAAAAAATAATTAAACATCATTAATACTAGGCCATATATGCGTTTAATACCAATTAAAAATGATATTTGTCGACAGGTCACATTTTTAATCATAATGAAGCTGGTGAATTATATCACTAGTGATTAACAGGTACCGGATTTCCCATTGGATATAGACATTTAATGACGTCATTATAGAGGTGTATATTAAAAATGTAATGCGCATTTAAATTGGTTTTTTTTTTTTTGATATACATTTAAAAAAAATGTTTTTGTAATAAAAATAATTTCTTATTTGTATATTATAACAATTTTCTGGGACGCAATTTTTAAGGAATTCAGAAGTAGGTTCTTTTGCATTCTCATTTTTGTGGAGTATTTTTTTTTGTACAAAAATTAACTTATTAAAAATATTTTGAAATTTCCATAAAATAATTAAATTTTAATTTAGACATTATTTAGTGGTTTTTTGTGTTTTAAAATTGTTATTCGATTTAAAAAAATTTTAGTTCAAAAAATACTTTTAAATTATTGCTATTTATGTTTACATTATATTTCACTTAACTCTAAAGCAATTCATATTTTAAGTTGTTTTATTTTTGTTATTTACATAGTTGTAAATATTTCGTGCAAAATTATAAACTTACAACGAATTTATTAACAACATATTATGTTATTAATTAATTCTTTTAATTTAAATATTTTAAATTTAGGCGAAATTGCAGCATATATACAGAGTTATCCCTACAATTTGTAAGGCCTACAAATATAATATGAAGCCTTCCCCAAGAAGACAATTACACTCCTATAAGTCTGTAACATTTCCCATTACTAAATGTTAATATATGTAAAGTATTTTTACCCATCACCTTTACAAGTGACTCATCTAAATCATAAATAATTTGTTTAGTACATTACAAAGAAGTATATTCACTTTTATTATAATAATTTAAAGTGTACCAGTATTTTGTTCTTGTTTTCATTTAGTTAATAATATAATATATTGCCAAATAAAAATTCAAATTATATTTGTAAAATATATAAATCAATTAAAGAAAAATTAGTATTATTTTAGAGAGCACGGTGCCTGGACCATGAATTCTCCTCGCCCAGCATGTGTGATTACCTAACTAAATATTTTTAATATGACAAATCTCAATTTGATAATTATATTTTAAAACATTAAATTGACGAAAGTTAAGCACCGTTTGAATTTAAAAACTAGAAAAAAACTTTTTCATTAAAAAGACTAAATTAAATCTTGTTACTATTACCTTATCAGTAAAATATATGTGTTGTTACTTTTACTAATCATATTGGCGTGGAATTAAAACTAAGACATAAAACAAAATTGCAAGATTTTTAGTGCAATGAAGCTATGTTAAATTCCTACATATTATCTGTCCAAAAAAAATGTATTTAATATTTTGTTTTAAAATTATTGTATGTGAATTAGAAAAGGAATAAATCATTTTGACATTAACCACTTAAGTACAAGCTTAAAATATCCAACAACTCCATTACGCTGGATCTTGACTGTAACTCATCCATTTAATTTTTAATATTCGATTAATATTGAAACAATATTTTGAATACTAGATGAGTTATTGTGAATATTTTAATGATAATATATTAAATAATATTATTAATAATAAATATTATTAACGTTGGCAAAGACACACATTTTTGAAAAACTAGTTATTATTCAAATTACCATAAGACCTAAAAACATAAATCAAAATTTTCATTCTTTAAACCGCTTATTTCAATTATATTACTCTTCGTCTCAACTAATTGATATAACTCTACTTTGGTACCAGTAAAAAATTTCGTCAACAAAACACCAACAGACCCAAACTTAAATAGCTGACTACTACACCAAACAGAAAATTAAGTACTCGTTAAGCACTGATAAAATCATTCACCAGATTCATTGTGATTAAAAATTAGAGCTGTCGCGTACCGACCAATCAACAATTATCATTTGCAATTAGTATTACACGCATACATTACTTAGTAATACTTAAATTGAAAATCATGTAATTTTTGGTTGATATGATCTGTTATCCATCGAAATGTTTTACACCAGTGATTTTAATCACTTTCAGATAGCATCAATACTAATCTCAATGCCTCACATCCATTACTCTGGATCTTGACTACAACTCCTATTTAATTTTTAGTATTTAAAAACTTTTTATAAAAATCTAATCATTATCCAAATTAAAGGGGTGCATAAAAATCATATTAAAATTTTTTTCTTTTAATTTTTAAGGATGTTTCAAAAATCTTTTTTAAATGTACATTACCGAATGCTATTTTTGTGTGAAAATTCTCGATTTTATTTTTTACATTTTTAACTTTATAATGCTATAACTTATAGCATCAACACAATTTTTTTATGAACTAGCAGATCATGTAGCTTTTGGAATAATACACCAATTTTTTAAAATTAAACACTATCTAAAGATTTGCATCGAAGCGTTTTATTTTGATAGTGATTTTAATCACTGTCAGATATCATTATACTTGATCCAACTATGCCACGTCACCACTGTGCCGCGACCCCCCTGTGCTGGGTTTTTTTTTTTATATTAAAACCTTAGATATTTTCCTTTCATTTGATATCATTTTTTTGAAAATCTAACACTTAACCTACTCACAAGGGGGGATTTATAATAGTAACTTTTTTGCAAAAAATTAACTTTTTCAACAAAATATTTGAAAATGTTTCGTAAAAACTGCGTCCTTTAAATATATGTCAAATTAAAGATTATAATAAATATCACTCTGTGATAAATTATTCAGAGATAGACTGATAAATATATATATAGATTACGTTCTACGTTAGATAATATTTTACGTAATTATTTTGTTCTTATATTATAAGAACTAAATAATTTATCACAGAACATATATTATCAAATATTAGACACTTTCCTTTAACACTTGATACAATGTACATTTTATTTCATACTGGTTTATTATCGGTATATAAATATACTATAATGTTATCTATCTACGTTATATTGTATATTAGGACCAATTACAAAAAGATGAACAAACGGCTGACAATAGGCAGTAGAGTAATATTAACCAATGTTAATTAAACACTGTGCCGTGACCCCCCTGTGCTGGGTTTGGTTTTTAAAAATGAACGGATTATTGCGAAATTTTTATTCATACTACTTTAGACATTAACCATGCCGATAACAAACTTTTTTTGAAAATCTAATCACTATCCAAATTAAAGGGGTGCCTAAAAATCATATTAAAAATTTTTCTTTAATATTACATGTACATTATCTAGAGAGTTTTCAAAGTTTATGATAGGGTAATTTTATTTACTTACTTTAGTAAATAAAAAAAATTATAACTAATCCTATAGGCTATATTTTATTATAATACTAAGAAATATTAAAAATAATTCCCAACCATAATTGATGACTTGTTTTCAATCAGTAATCGGTCTCTTAAGTTGATAATCATGTAATTTTTAATTTTAGTTTTCATAAATTTTAATTTCAATAAATATACCCGTCGCCTACACCTATTGAAGCGACAACATTTTGGGTACGAGTTCAAAATGTAAGTCAACAGTAAACTAATAGACCAGTACACATACAGTTATTCTTAAGTTGAAAATCATGTAATTTTTAGTGGAAATAATAGAGTTTATATGCCTCGAAACGCTACACAACAATGATTTTAATCACTTTTGTCAAAGACCCACATTAATTTATGTGGGTCCCACACCTATTTAATTTTTAGTATTCACTTTATATTAAAAAAAATTCATTGATAATACTTTAAATATTAAGTTTGCCAAACACCCACATTATTGAATAACTAATTATTATTCACATTACTGTAGGGTCTAAAAACATAAATTAAAATTTCTCTTTTTTTAATTATTGACAAAGATATAAAAAAACCCGACTTTTTTAATTCCAAATTAAAATAAATCAAAGCTAATACTTAATAATGAAAAATTATCCAAAATCTAATTTCTAAGAATTCTATAGGAACTTAAGCGGAAAATCACAAATTTGTGTGCTAAAATGTCTATATCCAATGGGAAATCCGGTACCTGTTAATCACTAGTGATATAATTCACCAGCTTCATTATGATTAAAAATGTGACCTGTCGACAAATATCATTTTTAATTGGTATTAAACGCATATATGGCCTAGTATTAATGATGTTTAATTATTTTTTCCATGGACCATCTCGTTACTAGACTATCGGTCAATAAGTCTTAAAATCACAAATTGTCTGCTAGAATAGTCCAATTTATAGTTTTTTTCATAGTAATATAATGCTCGAATTCTTTAATTAAAATTTGATTAATATAAAATGTAACACATTATTTTTTTCAAATAAAAAATTTATGTACACA